CATCAAGAAGGTCACTAAAGGGATTCTGATCCTGTATGACTGGTGTCCTTACACAAAGGGCATTGTGGTCGCAGATGCACACAGAAGTCACAGGGAGAGGTGGCGGTCTACAGGCCAGGGAGAGAGGCCTCGGAGGAACCCCACCCCTGCCCTGACTGTGGCGTTTGCTCAGGCACCTGGCACCCCAGCTAAGGCACCGACTCCCCCGCTGTCAGGGCCCAGGGGTCCTGCCACCCAGGCTTTGCGAGGCCCACCCATGTGGGGCCTGGTTTTCCCACTTGCTCACTTTGCCCTGAAGAGAGGACTTGGCTGGTGGCAGGCAGGCAGGCAGGACCTGGCCCGGAGCCCCTGCCGTCCCCTGACCTTGTCAGAGCAGCACACACACACCCTCTGGTGTGTGGCCTTGGGCAGGGGCTGCTCTGGGGGTGCTGGCAGGGTGACCTTGTCAGTAGGCCCCTCCCTGTCTCTGTGAGGCTGGAGGTCGGTGCTCTGGTGACAAAGGTCTATTTCAATATGTAGGGGCCACTGGGATCCCAGCCTCAGTGGGGGGCCGTGCTGGGGGCAAGGTCTGCCGGCTGCAGAAAGCGCTCTGTGGCATTCAGCAACTCCCCACCCCCCACCCTGATTGATTTGCCTCATTAATCACAGCCCGCAGCTGGGGGCAGGAACCACGCAGGACCCATGGGGGCCCCTGGAGGTGGGCTGGGGCCCGACAGGCTTTCTCTGCATCCTCCTTTTCCTCTAGACCCAGCCAAGGAGCTCTGAGGGCCCCCAGGATCCCCTCCAGAGCACACTCAGGCCTCTACCCCTCCCCTGGTCCCACTACCTTGGAGGACCAGGTGTCGGGAAGGCTGGGCAGGCATCCTAAATCCTGCAGTCACTGGCTGCTAACAAGACTTTTACATCAGTGCTCCCAGCAGAAAACAGCAGTAATGGTGTCCCCTCCAGGCAGGTGTAGGGGGCCAGGGCAGGCCCAGCTCCGCAGACTCTGAACCTGCACGCCTCTGGGTACCTATGGGCCTCAGGTCTACCAGTGAGGCTCCCTGGGCCTGGAAGTTGGGCCGAGGCCCTTTGGAGGGGCACATGTGGAAACAGCAAGTTCCTCATGTCCTGGACGGTCGATTCTTGGGGGGTATCATTACCCAGAGGGCACTCCCGGCTGTCACCTGGCCCCTCCTCATTTTCATGGGAGTAAAGACGATGGTGTGGCCATACCCCCTGCCCACTGCCCTCGTGCAACCCCTGCAGAGAGCTACCCCCACCGCCACTGCTGGGAAAGGGTCAGGAGCCCCACAGGACTTCCTTTGTCCTTACTTCCCCCTGCAGTCAGGCTCTCCCTCCCCCTCCTGACCCTGACCAGCACCTCAAACCCTGCAGCAGTGGTTGGGACCCTTCTGTCATCCCCCCAGATGTTGACTCCAGCTTCCACCTGTTCTCCCTCCCCCAAGCCCCCTCAGGAGCCCCACAGTTCCCCTCCTCCCGCACATGGCCAGCCCCCTCCCCAAGGTCTCTCCCCAGGCATCTGCTGGAAACTAGACCAGGAAAATGGGAAGACCCCAACCTAGCCCATGCCATGCCCCTGCATGGCCCCACCAGAAGCCATGCACCTGCATAGCCCCCTCCCACGGTCTTGAGGCTCCCCCACATTACAGTGAGCACACAAGGGGTGATATCACGGGGTCTGTATGCCCCCTTCACCCCAGGGGTTAGAAGCACGTCCTCAGGTCCAGCTTCACCCAGGGGCTCACTACTCCGGGTGAGCCTGCCTTTGTACACAGAGGAGGGAAGGTGAGCACCCCAGGGCCTGGCTCCTGGCAGAGCTGCCTGCCCTCCCTTACAGGTTGAGGGGGCATCTTGCTGCTATTGGGGGGATCTCTGTCATGTAGTAGGAACCAGACATTGGCTGGCTCTCCACAAGGGCCCCCTGCCCCCAGCACTGAGGGGCAGAGCCAGGACTGGCTTCAGGTGCTGGAGATCTGCAGACAGACGGGCCCGGTGCCAAGGAGGAGCCCATGCGGTTCAATGCTTGCTGGCTTGAAAGTCTCAATACTTTTACCTTTGAACATGTGTTTGCTGGTGAAGGTCAATGGGACAGAGGAACAAATGTGAGCAGAGGAGGTGCTTGCACGTGAGTCCCATGCCCCAGAACAGAGACTCCGGGCATGCGCCTTCCCTCAGGAGTCCAGCGTGTCCACACTAGCCAGCCCTACAACTGACTGATCCGTGCTGCTTGTGGGTTAGATCCTGCATCCCCCAAGGGTCCATGAAGGGTGTCCCCTTGGCACGTAGTCAATCCCCAGCTCCTCGTACATCCCGATAAAGTTTTAGGGATGAATGGGAGCAGGACCTGGGTGGGCCAGATAAGCCAAAACCTAGACACACGGACCTCGGTGCTGGACCCTGCCGCCTTCGGGACAGGCCTGTGTCTGCAGAGCCCCACCGTGGACAGCCTAGGGGGTGCATCTGTTTTCTCACATGTTCAGGACAAAGCCATCAGGTGTTTTCTGGCCACAGGGACGCCCCCCCCCTGCCCCCGCCAGGACAGCAAGGCAGGGCTCCTCAGGGCACCAGCTCTTAGAAACAGCAACAACGTCCTGACCCCAAGAGGCCAAGTGCCTCCGGAGCACTCCCTGGGCCCTGGGCATCCGCACTGCCCCACCCCTCGTGCCCTGCCCAGCCGTGCCTGGTCCGGAGTCTGCTGGGTCTGACTTTGTGCGGTCACAGCACTGAAGGTCCCCAGCTTTACCCCCAAGTCCAAAAGCACCATTTCCACCCTCATCTTATGGACTGGGGTCCCCCGATCACCTTCTGTCAGGAATCAGCCCCAACCTCCAGTGTGGCACAAGGCCTGGGCAGGGGGCCCCTGGCAGGGCCCTGCAGCCCCCAGCAGACCAGGTCCAACTATTGCAAGGACTTAGAAGTGAAACCGCCCCAGGTTTGAATATGATTCTTGTGGTTTCCAAGCTCTGTGATGCCAGGGGCTCAGCTGTTCCGAGCTGCGGGCTCCAGACCCGTAGAGTGGGGCAGTGCTTGGCATCCAGGGAAGGATAGAAGAGGACACTTCCTAACCAGGGTGCGTGGCAGCCCAGTGTGCCCAGGTGACACACCTGACATCCTGGCTGAGCACCCACTGCGGACCCTGCCTCAACAGTTACTGACCAGGTCCCTTCACCACAGCTGTGTCTGCCAACGGGACGCAGTGTCGGGGACACAGCACCTCCTCTGAAGCACGTGCATGAACCAGAAACCTAACTGGCACCCAGCCGTCTGTCTGCTTCTGACCACCCCCACCCCCACCCCCAATTACAGGAAATACGGACACAGACACTAGACAAGCAACACCCAGAAGGGTGCATTGGTGACACCCAGGATGCGGGTGGCAAACAGCGCAGAGCGACGGCCCTGTGCCCTCCATGGGCAATGGTCACAGGCTCACAGGGCCCTCAGCGGGTTCCATGGGTGACCCCACCACAGGAGACCTCTCAGGGGCCCGAGGCCATGTGGTGAGGTGAAGGGACTATCCATGGTTGGGGGGGGGTTCCCTTAGAGACACACCTGAAGAATTTCCAGCCGAAATGGTATGTTGGGGTTTGCTTCAAAGAAGGTGGGGGGCGGGAGTGTTGGGGTGCACGGGGTGGAAGCGGCCTGCGCTCCTTGTAGATGCCGATGATGGGGCTTCTCAGAGCCTCCTCCAGGGCCCCGCGTGTCCATCACTGGCCAGCCTGATGACACACTCCCCCACATTGTTTGTGTCCCCTGACAGAAGCTCCTGACAGTTCCTGCTAACAACAATAAAGGTTTTAGAATGTTTGCATATGTCTAGAATTTTCCAGAATAACAGCAAAACAAAAGTGGTAACACATGTGGTTTGCAGAGTTTCCTAACGGCACACTCACCCAGGCCTATGGTTAGGCATGGGTGGGGGGCTTTCCTGTGGGCACATTCTCCCAGGCTTTCCTCCCCAAACCCATGTGTGATGGTCCCTCCCTGCCCACCACCGTGTCCAGGTGTCTCCCTGGTGCTGGACCTGTGACTCAGCAAGGTCACTGACCAGGCAATAGGTCGCTAGGAGAAGGGTGCCCCCTCCTGTCCCTGGGATGAGGCCTGGTCACTCAGCCCTGCAGCCTCGAACCATAGCTGCTCCGCTGACCCTGGTCCAGCCTGAGCCTCATCAGACCCAGTGACCCTGTCACCGTGGTTACCCGGAGCCACCTGCTCTCTGCCAACACTGGCAGCTCCACCTCCCAGGGTTCCAACGGCTCTGACCTGACCACTCCCTAGCAAAGGAAGGGGTGCCTTCAGCACCCTGAAGCAGCCTGGGGGATCCCCACCAGCCCCACCCCACCCCTGCAATAAAAGAGAGCTTAGGCCCAGCCAGACTTCAAAGCGGTCGAGGCCCAGGTCAAAGGTAGGGCTGAGTAATCTCCGAAGGCTCTCTGGGCTGGGGGAGCCTGGGTAGGGGGTGGGTTCCTTGTTCCTCTCAAGGGCAGCTCCCACATAAACAGGGGTGAGCGAAGGCCTCAGGCACAGGGGCCTGGAGCCTAGCCTAGGGTGCCAGACCAGAGGACACCTCTCAAATCCTCCCATGACCTCGTAGGGCAGCTCTGCTGTCACTCCCATTTGTGTTCAGGTCATCCAGCTGGTGATGAGTAGTGGGGCTCTGAACAAGGCAGCCTGGACCCCAAGCCCCCAGCCCTGAGATCCAGTGGACTGGTGCTCACAGGTCAGACCTCCCTGGTCCCCAGACCCTCATGTTCATGCCAGACAGCAGCCCCCCACCTCCACCCCAGACCTCAGCTTCCTAGCTGTGATGTAGCCTGGCCTGGACCACCCAGCAGTTTCCTGCCACCTGCTGGAAGCTCCCTGACCTACGTGGTGCCTATGAATGGCTTTGGTGTAGAGGTGACCAGGCTGGACTCCCAGACCTCACACCTCTGGTCCCACCCGACAGAGGAGGGGGTGGAGTCCAGGGAGAGGGCATCCCCAACACCAGATACACAGCACTGCTTTATTTGTGAAGTTCACCTCCCCTAAAACAGGTTCTCCAAAAAGGTGGGTCCTCGTCCAGGGGCACTGCCCAGCATCCACCTGGCTGCTTCAAGGGGACGCCTGCCAGGGACACTGGCCCTGGGGGCAGTAGGGGTCCAGCCCTTAGCCAGGTTGGAAAGTTCCAGTAGTGGGGTGGGGCGGGAGTAGACAATCTTTATTGTGGTCAAAGTCTGGGGGCTTTATGTACAAACGAAGTCTTCACATGGCCGGTGTTCCTGGGCAGTTCAAACTAATAAATGCACCAAACGGATGTTCTGTGTCCTTATAAAATCCTCTCCCGTTCACACCTGTCCGTGTTGGCGTACAGCCCCATGGCAGTGGAGACCCTCCGGGGGCAGGACGGTCGCGGTCTGAGGAAGCTGCCAGCCGCCGGAGGTCAGGCCAGGACAGGCTCCACGCTGGCACCCGGTCAGGCTGGACGGCACGGGACCGTTGGCGGGGTCCCGGCTGACTCGGTGGGTGGCGGTGGCTTCGCCCGCGGGGCCGAGGGGCCGAGGCGCGGACCACCCACCTCGTTCCCAGGGCCTGAGCGCTCCGCCCGCTGCGGGTCCACGGCTGCGGCTGCCGGGCGGGGAGGGGCAGCGGGCCGCGCAGCAATGCGGGATCCGGCGCGGCCCCACCGCCCACGAGCGAAGTCTGCAGTTTCGTTTGCCTGGTTGGTTTTGGAGCGCCAGAGTCCGTGGGTGCCTCGGATTCGGTCTGCGGCCTCGGCCGGGGCGGGGGCGGGGGCGGGGGCGGGGCGGGCGCTCGGAGCGGCGGTGAGTCAGGGCTCCGCACCCGCCGACTCATTCCTGCCACCGGGCCCCGGCGCGCGATTTGCAATGCAAAGTCACCCCGCCTCCCAGCGCCCAGCTCTGCCCCGGGATCCGCGTGCACTCGGGGCCTCACCCGCCCGAGGGCTCCCCCTCCCCGCTCCCCCTTCGGCGCAGCAGCGAGAGGAAGTTTTGCAATCCCAGACAAACAAACGCCGGTCTTGCACAGGCTTGAAAAAGTTTGGGGAAAATGAAGAGTGAGCGAAATTGAAGCCGTCACCCGGGCCTGGCGTGGCGCTTGGCTGCTCTCGGGGCGCGAGCCGAGAAGCTGTCCACTGCACCCCGCGCGGCTGCCCGCTCCGACCCCCCGCCCCCCGCCGCCGGAGGTTACCTCGGGGGCGGAGCGCTCAGTAGCCCCCTAACCAGCTGGAGAAGTCGAGCAACTCGCGCTCCACCGGGCTCAGCGCGCCCTCGCAGCCGCTGTCGTCCGACGAGTAGGCGGAGCGCGGTGAGCCGGGCTCCGAGCTGCCCCCGCGGCCCGGGGACGACGAGGCACAAGAAGGCGAGGCGGCGGCGGCGGCGGCGGCGGGGGTCCCGGGAGGCCCGCAGGCCGCGGGGGTGCGCGCGGCTGGCGCCAGGAGCCCCTCGGCCAGCGCGGCGCGCACCGCATCGTGCTCGGCCAGCAGGCGTTGCAGCGCGCGGATGTACTCCACCGCCGAGCGCAGCGTCTCCACCTTACTCAGCTTCTTGCTGGCGCCGCCGTGCGGCACGTGCTGCCGCAGCGCCTGGAACCCCAAGTTCACCAGCTTCACGCGGTTGCGCTCGCGCTCGTTGCGCCGCGCCACAGCCGCCGCGCCACCCCCAGTCTCCGGCGCGCCCGGCCGTCGCCGCCGGCTGCAGCGCAGCAGCTCTGGGGACGTGGGTCTACGCCGTGCGGCGCAGCAGCCCGAGACGCCAGGCGCGGGGGGCGCGGGCCGGGGCAGCGCGCCGCTGTCCATCGCTCCCGCATCCACTCGCCCCGCGACTCCTCCGAGCCCCCGCGAGCAGCAGGAGGGGTGGACAGAGGAACGGGGCTCGGTGGGAGGACGACGGAACCCCAAGGGAGCCCCTGGCACAGTGCCGCGGAGCGACTCCTCAGGGTACGCGTCTGGAGCCGTCTGGGGCCCAGAGGCAGCAAGGCGCAGGAGGCCAAGAGTTGGCAGGCCGTGCGCACCTGGGAGCGTGGGGCGCTCGTGTCCCGCGCGTGCGGCCGGACGCTCCCCAGGTCTTCCCGGCGCGGCGCAGGCGGCTTGGTTTTAAATGTATAGATAACCCTCCTCCGCGCCGCCGCCGCCTCTTTTCTCACGCCCTCCTTCCCTCGCCTCGCCCTCCCGCCACGCTTCGCCCTCCCCCTTGCGCACAGAACCTGCAAATGCCGAGGCGTGAGCGCGTCCCCCACCCCATCCCCTCGGGCGGAGTCCGCAGGTCCCCGGTGGGCCCCCAGCTCCCAACAGGTGCTTCGTGCGCCCCCCAAGACGCAGTGTGCAGGTCCCGGGCGCGCTCCCCCCGCGCGTCCTCCGGGCGCTGCCAGCAGGTCTCCGCCGCCAGGGCCGAGTCCACAGGTCCCAAGGGCAACTGCCCGGTGCCCCCGCCCCACCCCGTGCGCAGCCCGCTATCCCAGGAGTCGTTGATCATCCGCACGCGCAGCGCGCGCCGTGGGAAGGAGGGCGTGGCCGGGTGGGGGCCCAGCCAGCCCCGCGGCGCGCGAGACCCCCGGGGGCAGCACGCGCCGCGCCTTCCGTCCCCGCGCCCCCCCGCCGCGTTCCAGGGGGCGGGGGCCGGGGTCTCAGCCAATCGCGGGCGGTCCGCCGGGCCAATCGGGGAGGGCGCGGCCTCACGCCCGGCCCCCAGGAGGAAGCGCGTACGCCCGGCGCGTGGCTGCCAGGGCTCCGCTGACAAAGCTGGGTGCTGACCCGCGGCTCCCGGCGCCACCCGGGTGGGCGCGCTCCCTGCACGCACACCTGCTTCGCGCCCGGCCGCCCACCTGCGTATTCCTCTGCCGGGGATGGGAGAGGGCGATGCGGCCCTCAGGGCAGGGCGGCATTGAGGAGTGGCGCGCTGGGGTGGGGAGTTCAGGCTCCTGGGGCGCCTTCCGCCGTCTCTGCACGCACACCCTCTGTCTGTGGTTTCCAGGCGCCTTGGGGAGCCTGGAAGCCGACGGCCTGGAGGTTTGCACTGGCCCCTGTGGCCCTGGCCCCTGCCCCGCAGCAGATTCATTCCCTAAATGCCCCAGCCTTCCCGCACGTTCCACCTTCCGGGGCTCCCATGCGCTCCGGCTCTCTCACCTTTGGTCCCCACCAGCTCCGGTGGCCCTGGCTCCTTTTCCTTGGTGCCACCGCTTTGGCCTACGCCGGCCACCTTGGTTGGGACCGCCGTCTCCCACTGACCCGCTGAGATGGGGCCCATGGGGGAAGGTTTCAGGAAAGCTGCCTCCACCAGAGCAAGGCCTGGTCTCCCCCGGGAGGAGGGACAAAAGAGTTTCTTCGTGACAGATGGGGAGAAGCTAGGGGTGTGAGGGGGCAGGGACTGCAGGAGTGTGCAGAATGCACCCTCCGTGGCAGAGTTCGTTCCTCCCCGCAGTGGGGGAGTGCCTGCCAAGTTGCTGGGCCCTCAGGAGCCCATGGTCCCCCTGGGTTTTGCAGAAAGTGACCAGATCCTCCTGGGCCAGGTCTGCTAGGGAAGGAGTTCTGCTTGGAGCCACATCCTGGTCCTGGATTCCTCCCAGGAAGCTCCCCACCCCCCAGGCCTCCTGGTGTCCACTGGCTTCAGTTACTCTGCAGAATCTTCCTGGCAAATCTGCTTGGCCTTCCTGCTTTAGGGTGTGACCTGGGGCTAGCACCTGCCTGCAGCCAGGTGGGGGTGGGGCCCCATGGTCTCAGGAGGAAGCTATCTCAGGACATAGGTTATGTCCACACAGTCACGCCTCTGGCCAGTGGAGCCATCCACGTAGAGATCAGGGTCCTGACTCTGTCTCAGAGCGGCTCAACCTTTTTCTGGGTCTAGGAGAGGAGCCTTGGCTCATCCTCTCTCTGATCAGAGCCCCCCCCCCCACTGCCCTTCCCTGGTGGTCAGTTGGCAGCCTCCACCCAGAGACAGATGCCATGTCAAACCTTACAGGGGAAACCGCAGAATCCTCCAAACAGGCTCTTAGCAGCCCTTGCCTGGACTTGTGCTCAGCCTCTGGGGCCCAGAGACCCCACAGGTCCCTGTTTCCACACAACAGACTACCCAAGTTCTAGTGGCTGGACCAGTGGTTTGGCATATCTCCAGATTCTGTGGCAGTGCCTCTGCTGTTTTGGCCTGCTGGCTACTGCATCCAACCTGGGGGTCAGCTTCGGGGACGGCTGGGTGGCTGGGTGGCTGGGTCTGGCTCTCCCCGTGACTGTCCTCCTGCACTTCACAAAGCTGGTCTCCAGTTGCCAGAGCACAACCCTAAAGGGTGTGGAGTTTCTGTGTGAGATGGTGCAAATGTTTTAAAATTGTAGTGATGGTTGCACAATTCTGAGAATGTGCTAAAAACCTACTGCATTGTACACTTTATTTATCTATTTATTTATTTTTAAAGATTTTATTTACTTATTCATCAGAGACACAAAGAGAGGCAGAGACACAGGCAGAGGGAGAAGCAGGCTCCATGCAGGGAGTCTGATGTGGGACTCGATCCCAGGTCTCCAGGATCACGCCCTGGGCTGAAGGAGGCGCTAAACTGCTGAGCCATCCGGGCTGCCCCTTATTTATTTATTTTAAAATATTTTATTTATTTATTTATTTATTTATTTATTTATTTATTTATTTATGTATTTATGTATTTATGTATTTATGTATTTATGTATTTATGTATTTATGTATTTATTTATGTATTTATGTATTTATTTTTAGATGGGGGGAGGATCCCAAGCAGACAGAGCCTACCGCAGGGGGCTTGATCTCAAGACCCTGAGATCACGACCTGAGCAGAAACTCAGAGTTGGATGTTTAACCACCTGCACCACCCAGGCACCCCAAATCCACACTAAGTGGATGAGCTGTGTGGTAGGAGGATTGTATCACAATAAAGCTGTTAGAGAAATTGAAAAACAGAAGCGTGTGCCTTGTCAGGGCTCTGCCCTCACCCTGGCACCGCTCCTGAGTCTCCATCCCTGAGACCTAGGGCAGAGGTGGGTACCAACACCTGAGCCACTCCATGGTCATCCCACAAGCTCCTCAAAATCAACTCCTCACTGGCTGAGCTATCTTTCCTGAACCCATCGCTCCTCTGGTCCCCTCCATGCATGTATGAGCCATCACTTTCTCCTTCACCCTCTGCTGTCCACCAGCCTCGCCACGTCTCCAGCCACATCCCCCTCTGCCCTCCGATGCTGCCTTCGTCTCCACTCCTGGTCTCCTGGGTTCTGGCTTTGCCCCTGGTCCATGGCCTCAGAGCAGGAGTGGCTTCACTAGGGTGAGTTGGGTCATGCCTTGGCCCTCGGGATGAATCCAAGCTCCTTTGCACGTTGCCCCCACCCCGCCGCTGGCCTCCTGCCCCCTCTGCAGCCTGTGCTTCACACAGCCTGTCACTCAGCATGCCTGGGGTTCTAGATCCAGAGGGAAATATGCCGTGTTCCCGGGACACCACGCTCATCTGGCTCATGGTGCTGCTCGGCCGAGGTGTGTTCACATCCAGCCAAGAGGATCAGGAGCTGGCTGATGGTGAGAGCGAGACACAGCCCAGGGAAAGAAGATCTCTCAGCGTCCAGGGCCAGCTCTGCCACTGACCCTGAGGGGTCACAGTAGCCCAGGTCCGTGTGCACAGGGAGAGCATGGCAGCCCCTGCTCTGGAGGTCCTAGATGAGTCTCAGATCGCTTCGGGCTCCATGGGACTGGGATGCAGAGCTCCAAAAGTCTGGGGTCCCCTGGGGAGACCCTTCAGAGAGGCTCTGAGTCCCCATCATTGGGTTGTGTCTGGACCCTCTGGGGTCTTCCCCGTCATGAGACTGGACTGGCTCTTGGAGGGTCAGCACAGTAGAGGCACAGGGGCAGGGGACTCCATGGCCCGGGCAGGGTGAGCAGGACAACTGCTGACTGGTTTGGTCTGGGCTCCCCACTCGCTCCACACGCAGCCTGAGGCCACTGCCCACCCCCGTCTCTGCCTCTCCAGAGGCGCTGGCTTCCTAGTTCTGTTCTCTGGCTCAGGTCATGAGCAGGAAGGCTGGGAACTCAGCTAGGCCAGGCTGGCACCTTCTCCAAGCACACAGATCCGGATATCGCCCTCTCGTGGGTCACATCCGTGTGTTCAGGTCACTAAGGAGCCTGGTGCCTTCTGGAATCCAGCTGCAGGGGAAGCAGGACCCGTGGGAAACAAAGTTCATCCAGATGCTCAAGCTTCAGGTCTACAGATGCACCATGGTCCATCAGGTCCACAGATGACCTGAAGTCAGAGTTCTCCAGAGATGCAGCGGTAGAAGGTGTAAGGAGGTCTATGTTGCACACTAGCTCACCTCCTTGGGGAGTCTGGGATGCCCCACCACCTGCCACCTGCATGCCAGGCACCTGGGAAGGCTGGCGCTGTGATTCAGCCTGAGCCCATCAACCCAGGTGGTACAACGGCGAGACACCCTATAGATCCGCTGCATTCCAGACACTCTTCCTCCCTTACCCACTGTGTACCAGCAGTCCCATGTCCCCTGGGCAGTCAGGACCAGTCCTCCCACCAACACTGTACCTCCTTCCTCTGCCTGCAGATTGAGGGGTGTGAAGGGCCCAGAGCGGCTGGGTGGCAGGCTGAACTTCCAGTTCAGGAGAGTCACTGCTGTGTCTTCTGATAGAAGCATCCCTCCCTCTGTACCTGAGACCTCAGGGCAGCAGACCATAAGGTCATGGGGAAGAGGGACACCTGGGTGGCTCAGTGGTTGAGCATCTGCCTTTGGCTCAGGACATGATCCTGGGGACCTAGGTTCAAGTCCTGCATTGGGCTCCCCACAGGGAACCTGCTTCTCCCTATCCCTGTGTCTCTGCCTCTCTCTCTCTCTCTCTCTCTCTCTCTCTCTCTCTCTCATGAATAAATAGATAAAATCTTAAAAAAAAAAAAAAGTCGTGGGACGGGAAGCAAACGCTTTGCTAGTGGGGCACCAGGGGTAATAGCCAGAGGTGCTCTTGCCATTTCCAGCCCCTGATTCCTGGACCCCCTAATCCTGGCTCAGGGGGATGCAGCACAGAATGTCAGATGCTGCCTCAGAGTGTGTACGGCCTTCAGGAGCCCCTGTCCCAGCCCTGCAGGGTACCGCCACCTGGCTAGGACTGAAACCCAGC